ACTGTGTGTATGTGTGTTTATGACTATATTTGACTGTGTTTGTATGTATGTGTATGATTATGCATGACTGCGTTTGTGTATATGTGTATCTTGTATGACTGTGTACGTATGACTGTATGACTGTGTGCATATGTGTGTATGACACTGTGTGTATGTGTATATGACTGTGTATGACTGTGTTTGTGCATATGTGTTGTGAGGGTGTGTCAATGTGCTGATTTCTTATTCCTCACTGTATCGACTGAGAAAAATCTCTTATGTTAAAAATACTACCACATTCTTGTAATACTAACAGCTTTTTGGGTGGTATGTGTGTATGTGTGTGTGGGTGCATATGCACACATGTGTGTATGCATGTATGTTCACATGAGAGTGTGCTCAGGCTGTAGGAGGACACCTGGTATCCTCTATCATGCTCCACCTTATTCCCTTGGGACAGGGTTTCTCACTGAACATGGAGCTATGCTAGCAGCCAGCAAGTCTGAGGGATTCCCCTGTCTCTGCCTTCCACAGCACTGGTGTTATAGGCCTGGGTGGCCACAGCCTGCCTTTTTAGTGGGTGCTGGGGATTTGAAATCAGGTCCACTGAGCCATCTCTCCAGCCCCCTAACAACTTAAAATATATATTTAACTTATTATATTTTTATTTTATGTGTATGAGTGTATGTCTGCATTGTGCACATATTGTGCAATGCCTACAGAGTCAGAAGAGGGTGTTGGATTCCCCTAGAACTGGAGTTACAGATGGTTGTTAGCCACCATGTGGGTTCTGGGATTTGAACACGGATAGAAGAGTAGCCAGTGCTCTTAACCACTCAGCCATCTCTCCAGCCCCAGTATTTTGTTATTTCTGCTGAATAATATCAGGTCAGTCTAATTAGTATTTCCATTAAAGTAATTGTTTCCCTTCTAGTAGGGTTTAACCAGTTCAACTTGGAATGGATTTGGTTCTTGTTAAGAGTATTTTGGCAGCTGGTGGTAGTTTCAGCCTGAATATTCATGGGCTTATTTTCCTTCAAATTTGGAAAGTTATTGCCTATTCATTCCTCTGTACCACACTCTTCGGTCATTACCTTCTTTTGTCTGGAGATTTTACTTGTTGCCTGCCACCCTGTACCCTACATCTCTTGACTATTCTTTAATAATGTACTTTTCTTTTCTTTTTCTTCTTTATATTGCTTTCTGAATATTTTAATGATTATTTTATTGAAAAGCTGTAGAAAGGGGGACATCGGTACATTTATATATGACATCATAATATAGGCAATGGTTATATGTATATAATTTTACTTAAAGAATTTATTTTTATTTCAACAAAGTCAATATTTTCCTTATTACCTTTGAATAGCTTCAGTAATACGGTTTTTAATTTAAACTGTACATCAGTCTCTGTGTTCTATGACACTAGAGGGGTTTAAGACATATTCCTTAACCCTAAGATCAAGGTTTTAATCATTGAGTGTGGAACAAAAGCATTTTAGTGGAACAAAGACCATCTTAATAGAGTCTGTGTGATAAATGCTACAGGAGTAATGTATGCAGTGTCGTTTAAGGTGAAGGGAAAGGGCACATGGCTCTGTCTACAAGTCAGGGAGCATGGGAGGAGGTGATGTTCAAACAGAAACTTAAAAGCTTAGTGAGGGAAATCTGAGCCAGTAAAACTTTCCTTCGTTTTCCTCTCATTAGCTGAAATGAACTCCTTTGACTTCACTGAGAAAATAAGGCTTGTTCAGCAAGTGAGTATATCTTAAGTGGAAAGCTAACAGACCAGTTTGCTGTAGTTGCTTTGCAAGTCTGTCACCAATGACCTCATCTAAAATATTATTCATTGGGCTGGAGAGATGGCTCAGTGGCTAAGAGCACTGACTGCTCTTGCTGAGGACCTGGGTTCGATTCCCAGCACCCACATGGCAGCTACAAACCATTCTTAACTCCAGTTCCAGGGGAATCCGAAGCCCTCTTCTGACCTCCGCGGCATTGCACGACACAGGTGCACTCACATACATGCAGGCAATACACAAATATACATAAAATAAAAATAATAAAATATTTTTAAAAATATTATTCATGCTATTTATTTAACCAGCCAGGTTATAATTTGTTGTTCAGATGCATGTATTTTTGGAACATATGGGGACACTATTCATAATTATATAGGAGTAGTTGATCATTTAATGTGTCTATCATCTCTCATCATCTAGATATCAGAGATATGCTTCATAAATTTTCTTTCTATGTGTTTTAAAATTTTATCTTTTGCTTCTCACAATATTTATACATGATTATGATTATGAGACATTGTGTGTGGGTTTTGATTCATGTACACATTAAGTGGTAATCATGGTTATTAAAGCATCCATCGCCTTAACATTTTATCATTTCTTTATGTGAGTACATTCAAATTTCTATTTTGAAACAGACAATGCGTCAGTGTTAATTATGCCCACCTTGCTTTGCCATTGAATGCCAGAATTTATTCCTGTTGTCCAACAATACCATACTAGCCATTTTGATCAGCCTCCTCCCCTCCCTCTTGTCTCCAATATCTCTGGTAACTGCCATTCTTCCGTGAGATTGAGGTTTTAGGTTCTAGTTATGAGTAAGATGATACAATATTTGCCTTTCTGGGCTTGATGTTATTTAATGTAATAGTCTTTACATCATCCAGATTTTCAGCCCCTCTCCCTTTGCTCTTCTGTTGTATAAATAAAATGAAACAGCTTTATGGAAATATAATTCACTCGTCAAATATTTCCCATGAATTGTGCGCGCAGTTGCCTCCGTGATCAGTTTCAGAACATTTCCATTACACGGTTTTAACTAGAACCCTACTGATCCCAGTTTCGATTCCTCTACTTCCTGCCTCCCACACAGTCCTAGACCATCAGTATAGCTTCTCTCCATGGAACTGCAAATTGTAATAAACATCTACTATAAACAGAACCGTGTAATATGGGCCTTTGTGTGCTTCTTTTATTTATTGTTTCCACATCATAGAATATAACGCTTCATTTGTTTTCATTGTCAAATAATATTCAGTTGTACATGCGCATTAAATTTTGTTTATGCGTCTGTTGGTGGACATTTAGGTTGCTCCCATTCTCCGGTTATTGTAAATGGCGCTGCCGTGAATACAGAGGTGTAAACATATATTTGAATCTCAACTTTCACTTCTTTTGAAAATGACCTAGAAGTAGAATTGTTGATCTTAATTCTGTTTTCTTTTTGAGGCATCCCCAGAATTTTCTCCACAGTGTCTACCATTTAATTCTTACCCACAATGCACAGGGGTCTAATCAATCAACATCTTTGCTAACTTTTGTTCTTTCGTTTTCTTTATGGTCATCCCAGCGAGTGTAGTTTTGGTTTCTATTTCATTTCTTTTATGTCTATGTGGTGTATGTGCATGTTTGAATGCCAGAGGTAGAGCTGACATCAAGTGTCATCCTTGATCACTTTCCACTTTACTGACACAGGATCCCTTGCCAATTCAGCTACCATAGCTAGCAGCTCACCCAAGGAATGCCCCAAGGAATCTATTTTTTAGAAAATATTTATTTATTTATTTATTTATTTATTTATTTATTTATTTATTTATTTATTTATATGTGTATAAGTGTATTGCCTGCATGTATGTGAGTGCACCCGTGCCGTGCAATGCCACGGAGCTCAGAAGAGGGCTTTGGATTCCCCTGAAACTGGAGTTAAGACAGTTCATAGCCGCCATGTGGGTGCTGGGAATTGAACCCGGGTCCTCTGCAAGAGCAGTCAATGCTCTCAACCACTGAGCCATCTCTCCGGCCCCAGGAATCCCTTTTTTATACTTTCGAAGCACTGGGAATATAGGCAGACCATCCAATGCCCATCAGAGTTGTGCATTTTTAAAGTTTTTATCTATATGGGGGCTGGAGAGAAGGCTCAGGAGTTAAGAACACTCGTTCTTGCAGAAGACCCGGGTTCAAATCCCAGCACCCACATGGCAGCTAACAACTGTCCATAATGCCATTCCCAGAGATTCCGACAGCCTCTTCTGCCCTCTGTGGACATTGCATGACACGGGTGCACTTACCTACATCCAGGTAATATATGCATACACATAAAAAATAAAAAATAATTTTATATGAATATTTTACCTGTAAGTGCACTACATGGGTACAATGCCTATGGAGACTATGCTGGATAGCTTTAGTGTCAACTTAACACACCTGGGTTGAGGGAGCCTCAATCGGGGAATTGCCTCTATTGGACTGGCCTGTGGCCATGTCCGAAGGGCATCTTCTTGATGAGTGATGTGGGAGGGCCCAGCCCACTGTGGGTGGTGCCACTCTTGGGCAGGTGGGCCTGTGTTGCATAAGAAAGCAGGCTGAGCAGGGGCCAGGAGAGCAAGCCTGTAAGCAGCGTTCCTCCATGGCCTGTGCTCCAGCTCCTGCCTCCAGGTTCCTGCCCTGAGTTCCTACCTTGGGCTCCCTGATGAACTGCATGCGACCTGGGAGATGTAAGACAAATAAACCCTTTCCTCCCCAAGTTGGTACTGGTCAGAGTGTTTTGTCACAGCAATGAAGAACAAACTAAGACAGAGACCAAAAAGAGGGCATCAGATTCCCTGGAACTGAAGTTACAGGTGATTGTTAGTGGCCATGTGGGCACTGGAAACAGAGCCCAGGTCTTCTCCAAGAACAGCCAGTGCTCTTAACTGCTGAGCCATTTCTCCAGCCCCCAATCAGAGGTGTTTTGTTTTGTTGTTTTTCTTTTCTTTTTCTTTCTTTTTTTGACACAGGGTCTCCATGTAGCCTCAGCTGGTCTGGAATTTACTATGTAGACTGTACTGGCCTCCATTTCACAGAGACCACCTCTTGAGGGCTGGGATTTAAAGGTGTGCACCACCACACCCGACCCCACTGGAGTTTTTAATAGGAGTATGTGATGGCTTCTGGCTGTCAAATAGCCAGTTAGTAAACAGCATTCTGGAAAGTTCTTTCTTGTTTCTGCTCTCTATTCAGCTCCTGTTATCACCACACCTCTTGAAACTGTGGACGCCTTAGTTGAAGAAGTGGCTACTTTCATGTGTGCAGTGGAGTCCTACCCTCAGCCTGAGATTTCTTGGACCAGAAATAAAATTCTCATTAAGTAAGTATTTTGTCTCATTCTGGTAAGGGTGTTTTACTGTTTCTCTTTGATAGAAATACAACTGCAGCTTTTGCTGGCGCTAAAGTTCACTTTCTTGAACATTTTGCTCATTCATTAAGATGTGAAGTTCAGGGCATTTAAGAGCTTCCCAAGGCAAAACAGTGATGTGTCTGACATGGGACTTCAGGGAACTTCCAGCTTAGAGCCAGAAGCATCACAGTAATTAGGAAGTGCTTTGAAACGCTAACTCTGCAGGCGTTATATTCCAGGATGCACAGAGGCGCTAGGAGCTGCCAGCCTCACCCACTCCATGTCTAGAATCCTCAAAATGTGAAGTCTGTTGCCTAGGAATATGACTTCCAAGTCACTATCATCTTTTTCTTTCGAAATGAGAAATTCTCAAACAGATGAAATTCCCATTTGGCAGATAATGGCTCTGCTCTTCTTTCCTCTTTAAAATAGTTATCTGATCAAAAAAATGCTCTGTAAAAAAATCTAAAACAAAGTAAGCTGTGGGCTTTCCAGCAGGCCATGCAGCTTACACTAAGGCTAAATGCTCTTTGTACATGTGCTAATGTGACAAAAGCCTGAGTAGCTTATAAACAACAGAAAATTATTTTTCACTGGCCCCTGGGCTGAGAAGTCCAGAGTTCAGGGAGCCAGCAGATTCAGTGCCTGGTTAGGGCCTGCTTCTTGGTTCAGAGATGGCCATTCTTCCCACTAGGTCCTCCTGTGAGGGAAGGGCAGAAGAAGCTCTCTGGAGTTTCTTTTATAAGGGCACTAATCCTACTCCTAAGGGTTCCATTCTCATTACCTAACCACCTTGCAAAGGCCCGATCTCTAAATGCTATCACATTTGACACTCAATTTCAACACATGAATTAGGGGGAAGTGAGAACACTCTGTTCTTAGCAAGTGTTTGAACTGGTATCCATAGATTATGGTTGGTGAACTTGGATGGGAGAGAGGACATGTTTATTGTCACTAACCTCTAACTGAAATGCAGTGTTTCTTTCTATGACATAGGCCTGGAGTGGGAGATGCCCTGTGTTGTGGGGAATCACCTCGTGTTGTAGCCTTCATGTTCTTTCCCAGGCAAGCTATCCCAGAAGCTCTAGAACATAACAACTCATAGACCAAATACAGACACTGAAAATTTTTTTAGCTTATTTTGCAATTTGGATAAATTAAGAATTTTTTTTTCTAAATCATCAAACCTGAGTTTCAGCTTTTCCTAACAGCATTTCTTCAAATTATCTTTTCCCTCTTGAAGTTTACCTCAAGTATCCAACAACCACTGTGTCTAGAAATTTCCTTGGCTAAATGTGAGTCCATTATTTATAAGAGTCATCTTCTGCAGACATGTGAGGTGTCATCTAGCCGAGCTCTCTGCCACTGTGTGGCAAGGATTTCCTTTCCTTGATATTCTCGTGATGTCCCATGTTTCTTCTTGGCCTCTGCCTGCAGAGCCTTCAACATCCATATTTCTTCTCTTTTTTAATATTTTATTTATTTTATGTGCATGAGTGTATTGCCTGCATGTATGTAAGTGCACCTGTGTCATGCAATGCCTGTGGAGGTCAGAAGAGGGCTTTGGATCCCCTGGAACTAGAGTTACAGGTGGTTGTTAGCCACCATAGGTGCTGGGAACTAATCCCAGGTCTTCTGTGAAAGCAGCCAGCACTCTTAACTGCTGAGCCATCTCTCCAGCCCGACAGCATCCATATTTCTATCAACAGTCCCTTCAAGTCCACAGTCAGCCTGCGATAATTTAGGTGTGCTGTAAGACAATTTAGAGTTTTCTCACCACTCTTCTTTCTGAGTCTTCAATAACTATCATTGGTGCACATGTTTCTGCTGACAGCCTCTTTAAGAAATCAAGGCTATCTTTTCATCATGCTCCTCAAAATGCTGCCGGTGTAATCCATTTCCCAACTAGAAAGCCACATCTCCATTTTTTTGGTATTTGTTGCAACACCATGCTAAGCAGGCACCAAAGGTTATGTTCATCTCCTATTGTGACTATAACAAATTGTCCCAAATTTAGTGACTTAAAACAGCACAAACTTATTAACTCATAGTTCCAGAGGCCATGACTCTATGGCAGTCTCACTGAGCTAAAACTGAAATGTAGGCAGTTGAACTCCCTCTGAAGGCTCAGGAGCAGAATTAGATTTCTTGCTTTTTTGGAGTCCAAATGCCACCTATGTCCCCTGGCCCGCTCCTCTATTTATAATGCTAGTCTTATATGACTCTGACCTCTGCCTGCACATCAGGCCTCTTTCTCTGACTCTTCCACCTTTAAAGGATAGTCGTTATTACCTTGACCCAAGTGGATAATCCATTTTAAGATTCTTAATATGCCCAAATACCACCTTCCATGGTTGTGATGATTAGGACATGGGTCGTGAGTCATTTTGTGTGCCACACACTTGGCATTGAGTGTTTTTTATAGAAAACAAACAATCAGAAAACCTAACACAAAACAACTTATTTTTACGTTGTTACGTTGATGATTTTTCTCAAATTTCTTTCTGTTGCCCTAACTCCCTTCTCAATGGACAATTTGCATGTGTGTGTGTGTGTGTGTGTGTGTGTGTGTGTGTGTGTATAATGCTTTTACAGTTTAAAGCTCTTTTATTTCCTTATACATCTTAAGCCAGAGGCAGTTAAATGCCTGGTGCATGTTAGAGAATCACATGTTCTTTGTTCGTAAAAGCAGAAGTCTTAGGGTTCTGTAAGGGAAATGAAAGCGGAAGCTGAAGATGAAGGAGAGGCTGGAGAGACAGCACAGCCATTAAGGGCTCAGGCTCACAACCCAAAAGACAAAAGTAATGATAGGTATGATCAAAGCACATTAATTCGCGTTTGGTACTGTCATGACGAAAACCCTTATTTTGCACAATGAACACATGCCCACAAAGCATGGCTGCAACTTACAAACACAAAGGCAATTGATGTCCATTCTATTTAAGGCAGAAATGTACTTTAATCATTAATGCCTTTTAAAGTAAGATTCTATCATGTTTTATTAAGTTAATTATAAACTCAGCTCTTTTCATTCCTTAAAACATACTGCAATATTCTTGGGTATTAAACTACATTAGAATAAAAGTACTTATTTAATCAATAAATATGAAATTAAATACTGTTGACTTCTATAAATGGTTCTTTCTGCTCATTACATTTAAAAATATTTTATTATTTTTATTTTATGTTATGAGTGTAATGCCTGCATGTAGGTGGGTGCACCTGTGTCATGCAATGCCTGCAAAGGTCAGAAGAGGGTGTCAGGTCCCCTGGAACTGGAGTTATACTTATTAGCCATCATGTGGGCGCTGGGAATCAAACTGGGGTCCTCTGAAAGAACAACCAGTGCTCTTAACTACTGAGCCATCTCTCCAGCCCCTGCTTATTACATTTATATGTGTGCACGTTCATTTTTCAGCTATCTGTTCCTTGTGGGAGAAGACTCATGGATCCTGGGTTGTGGGGACACTTTAGTTAGTAAATGACTTACTTTGCACGACACTTGAATTCAATCCTCAGAACCCACATTTTTAAAAAGTTGGCACTGAGCCAGATATGGTAGCTTATGCCTTTAGTCCCAGCACTCAGGAGGTAGAGGCAGGAGGATTTCAGTGAGTTCAAGGCCAGCTTGGCCTACACAGCAAGTTCCAGGCCAGCGGGGGCTGCAGGGGGACTCTGTCTCAAAAAGACTAAATAAATAAATATATAAATAAATAAAAGTTTGCACTGTGTGATTGTAATCCCAGCACTGGGAAGGCAGACAGGCAGATCCCTACTTAATCAGTCCCATCTAATTTTCAAGTTCATGCCAGTGAGAAACCCTATCTCAAAAAAAAAAAAAAATGTAAATGACACCCAAGGAACAGCACCGAATGTTGCACTCCAGCCAGCCTCCACACATACATGTGTACATGTGCTCACACACCAACATACACATGTGTACCTGCACACACATGAACACACATGCACATATACTTTACTGAGCAAATGTTACACTTGTTCTTAGCAATGTACATCACTTTGTAGATATGCTTTGCAGACTCAGTGGTGGTTTGATTGTGGAGCCCACTAGAGGTTAGGACACAAAGTAGCTTTATTTTACTGTACCAAGTAAGGCGTTCTTCAGAAGGCGCTCAAATTTCCTTTCGCCATTACTACTTCCTCACTGACTAGTCATCCACTAATGAAAGGCAAATGTGTGTGTGTGTGTGTGTGTGTGTGTGTGTGTGTGTGTAGGTATAGGTGTTGGTATAGATGTAGGTGTAAATATATATCTGTATATATCTGCAGTGTCACAGATAGTGCACCAATCCTCCGTTTTGCTCTGTGACCTGCAGGCTCTTTGATACCCGCTACAGCATCCGAGAGAATGGTCAGCTCCTCACCATCCTGAGTGTGGAAGACAGTGACGATGGCATCTACTGCTGCATAGCCAACAACGGTGTGGGAGGAGCTGTGGAGAGTTGTGGCGCCCTGCAAGTGAAGATGAGTGAGTGTTTTGGAAAGACACTTATGATTTTAACAATGTTGCTTCAGCATAGTTTGAAACAACCAATAAATAGAGTGTTCCTTGTATCTAAAGATTCAGGGGTGAGACATATTCAAGTGCAAAATTCAGTCTCCACACCAACCAAAGCCATATCTCATTCCTATTGTGAACCACCACCCTAAGTCAATCCCTTAGAGGTGTATCTTCTTCCACTGTTTTTTTCTTCACACAGCTCTTTATTATATCTGGGAACTTCCTTCTGAAAACTTTATTGGGTATTCTAATATTTAGTTTTGATATTTTTGAGAGCTGTATAGCCCCAGTTAGTCTGGAAATCACTATGTAGACCAGGTGAATCTCTGATCTCACAGAGATTCACCTGCCTCTGCGTCCTGAGTTCTGGGATTAAAGACATGTGCCTCCACACCCAGCTGCATTCTATTATTTTAAGATTTATTTTTGTTTGTGTGTGTGTGTATGCCATGCGTGTGCAGGTGCCCATGGAGGCCAGAAGAAGGTGTTGTATCTGGACCTGGAATTACAAACGGTTGTCCTGCTATGGGTGCTGGAAACCAAACTAGGGTCCTCTGGAAAAAGCAGCTAGCACTCTTGACTGTTAAGTCATCTCTCCAGCCCCTTGTGCATTTTAAAAACAAAGTTCCATTAGAGTCAATCACCCTTTATTTTCCCTAGACCTACACATAGAAAATTACAAAACATTTTGTTTAAGGACATTACAAGAGATTTAACAAATAAAGAGATGTTCCATATACATAGACAAGAATTCCTAGTATATAAAGATAGCTCTTCCTCCTCCACTTCCTCCTCCTCCTCTTCCCCCTCTTCCTCTTTCTTTCCCTCCTCCTCCTCGTCTTCCTCCTCCTCCTCTTCTTCCTCCTCCTGCTCCTCTCCTTCTTCTCCTTCTTCTCCTTCTTCTATCTTTTTGAGACAGGGTCTCCCTGTATCCCCAGCTGGCTTGGAACTCACTATGGAGACCAGGCTGGCCTTGATCTCATAGAGATCTGCCTGATTTTGCCTCCCAGGTACTTGGACTAAAGGAGGGCTCCACCACATCTGACTAATTCTTTTAAAAGTATTTTTATTGAATCTCTGAGTATTTAACACAATGTATTTTGATCATATTTAGACCCTCCCCAACAACTGTATCCTCATCTTACTAGCCCACCAATTTCACATCCTCTATCATTTTTTAAAAGCCTATCGAGTCTAGTTTATATTCCCCAAATGTTCTTGGGTGTGGATTCATCCCCTGGAGCTGCATCAACCTACCTGGTATCATATCGATGATTCCCTTAAAGAAAACTGATTCAGGAGCTGGAGAGATGGCTCAGAAGTTCAGAGCTCCAGTTGCTCTTGCAGAGGACCCTGGGTTTGATTCCCAGCACCCACGCGGTAGCTAACAACTGTTCATAACTCCAGTTACAGGGGATCCAACACCATTTCATGACATGCGTGCACTTACATATATGCAGGCAACACACTCATACATATGACATAAAAATAATAAATAAGGAGTAAAAGAAAACTGACTCTCCCTTTCCCTGTAGTTATCAAATGCCAGTAGTTCCTCAGCTAGGGCTGGGGCTTCTTGCCTACCTCCCCCATCCATGCTGCATTTTTGTCTGGTTTGGGCTTTCATAGATCTTATGCATGTTGTCACAAGCACTGTGGATTCATGTGTGCACCTGTCCTGCTGGGTCTGAACATGGTTTCATGTGGTCATCACCACTTCTGGCTCTTACAGTCTTTCTACCTCCTCTTCATCAATGATTCCTGAGCCTTGGGAGGAGAATGTCAAACACCCTTTCTTGAATCTCTAACCTCTTTGCACACACTTCTACTCCCTTCGCTATATTTAAACTATTTTCCTCCAAGTGACGTTCTACTTAGTTGGAGGTTGTTCAGTTTCCCCCCTTCATGTTGGTACTAGATGCTCATCTCGTATCCCTCCTTGCCACTGTCAAACCATTATATTTGTATTTATTAAGCACTCATTCCTAGGCACTTCCTCATATGCATAGACTCTAATTCTGTTCTCATTTTCTTTCTGTTCTCTCTGCCATCATCTGAAAGGGTTTTAATAGCCATGCAATAGAACCATAAGCCACTTTGTCCTCACAAGTCCTCAGCCTGCAAAAACAAAAACAAAAACAAAAACATATCCAGTGTTATGTGCCTTAACTCTTTGCCAATCTATCCAATCAAAGACCTATAATGGGCCTTGTCACCCACTGGACATGGAATGAATTCAAGGTCCTCAGCTCCAATATGTCACTTTCTGATCATGGACGTCTTTCTCCAGTTTTATTGGATGTGGAAAACATTCCTGCACTCACCGCTTGCCTCCAAGGAAGAGACACAAATTCCTGGCTGGTCTCTTCCTCAGATAAGAACTGCATCTAAGTCTGTCTTAGTTACATGCTACCTCTACAGGCCACACCCACTTTGTGCGCTCCTGACTGCCCGCGCCCCCCCACCGTTTGCTTGCCCCTAGCTCCTCTTTGTTCTTTTCACAGACTCTCATTTAGTACTTTCTTTCCACCCAGCCTTAGTTCTCACTAACTACTTGGTGGTGTGTCCCCTACACTCTCACCAGCACTCTCAGACCCCATTGTGAACCCTGTGCTGCCCGTGTCTGCTGTGGACACTCTGTTGACTTGGCAATAATGCAGGCTTTCTTTTCTCTTCCATGACCCCACACTACTAATGGGAGACAATCACCCAATGTTGCCACCACGTTCAGACAAGTTGATAGAATCTATGTCTGTCTACCTGGCACCTCTTCAGTCTTTGTTTTTCTTCATTATGTCTTACCTTTTATTACTATCTTGCTGGAGGAAATCAAATATATATTTTTTTCAGAGTATGAATAGCTAAGATATTTTCTGAATCCTTACAGAGCTGAAAGTCTTCATTTTGCTTTTCTTGCTGGCTAAAATTTTTGCTGGTTGTAGCTAGAGTTTTAGAAGCCTTTTACCCTTAGCTTTCAATAGAAAATTATTGATTGATATATAGGATTCTATGTTGTAGACAAAAAGCCTTTTTTCTTTTTTATGAGTAAATCTGATATTTATGTTTTTAAATTTTCTAGTATTTTTCTTTTATTCATAGAGTTTATAAAATTGTGAAATTCACTGGAATTTGTGTTACTTTCCT